GTTTATTTAATGATGGAGTGGGGGAGTTAATATAAACTATTATAGCTGGAAAAAAAACAATGCATACAAAGGTTACTCTTATTTATAAATTTCTTTTTTTTTACTTGTTCAAAAGAGTGCACGCTCTCCGACGGGTTCAAATGCTGTTCTAGAATATACTAAATTGTTTTAAAATTTAACTGTAGATTTATATTTATATATTTATATATATATATATTTATATATATATATATATAAAACTGAAATGAATAAAACCTAAATGCTATAAAATTGTTTAATACAACTGACAGATACATGTAAATCTTGATATAAGAACATGAATATATTTATTATGGAACTAAAAACACTCACGACTTTCATGACAGTTTACATTATCAATTTGTTTATTCAATCTGGTAAGATTGTAATTACTTGGTAAATAATTGATCACAATCAATGTTTTCACTCATTCCGTAAAGACAATTGAAACTTTGGTATTAGTTAGGCTATGATTGTTTTGTCAAATCAATCTGACCAGAAGATTGAAATTGCTTAGCAAATGAATGACTATGATCTAAGAACTGGCTCTCTTTTAGGTATATGGAGTCGATAGCTAAGCCTAGTTAGGTTTCGATATCAACCATCATAGATCGATCTTCAGAAATACTGTTGATAATTAAGAAAACTTCTTTATTATATGTAGATGGAGTCTGTTGTTAACCTTATTTCACTTCTAACTCAAATAAAATTACAATTTACCCTTATTTTCCAAAATTCAACGCAGAACTTAAAAACGACAACGACACATCCTTCGGCGTGTTGCCAACCTTGAATGCAGTGAAAACATCTCATCTTGTAGTAAGCTTTATCAATTATTGTTGATAGATTTAATTAGACCCTTTAAAGTATGTATGGAAGCTCAATTCGGTATTAATTTGAATAACGCGCAATTTCTAGAGATTTTCTACACCGAATTCGGATAACTATTTTGATGAGGAGTTTGATTCACTGTAATTCATGAAACCTGGCTAATCCCTGAAGGCTAATCTATGAATCAAATCATGAAACCTGGACAACATAAATGTACTGTAAAAGACAGGATGAAATGATACAAGGGATGGATGAGAAAAACCGCCTAGATTGCTTGACAGATCGATTCTTATCTTATTGCACTATAGTGTTTGATCACGTGCTGCACAAATGATGGTAGCAAAACTTCAGAAATAGGAACTTCTAAATTCTTCTCCATATTTTACAGATAAGCATCTACTGATTTCAAGTTCTACGTCAGTTCGAACAATATTTTAATAGCATAGCAATTCATTTATAACATACCAATTTCTGCTAATGCTATAAAAATGGTTTTCCAAATATGCCATTTTCGTTTTATGCCACCGAGCTGATTAACCTGCCGTTTTAACGGCAAGCATATGCAGACGATATGAGTGCATTGCATACTTTGATAAGTAAAATAATTCCTTATATGCGCAAGTTATGAGCAAACTTTGCCTTTTTTCTACAAATTTCATCATTAACCTGTTAAAATGATGTTTGTTTACTAATTAGACCAATATACTTACTTAAGCAGTCTTTGCAAAATCTGCACAATGTGTCATTATGAGGATAATCAACGGTAAAAGGAACACATCCTAACTCTTCAATGCTTTGATTAAATTTGCATTCTTCTATCACCATCTAAATGAGTTAATTTTATGTAGTTAACTTAGTTATAAAAAAATGTACATCTATTGTGTTGATGTTCATTAACAAGTATGCAAGAAACTATTAAAAAACTATTCATAAAGGTATTTATAAATTGCGAAGTTGCAGTTATTCCCCTTTAAAAAAATTTCGAGAAGAAATTTGCAGGTTGAAATTTGAAATTTTATAATTTAAAAAAGAAGAGAAAAAAATAAACCCTAGTAGTTGCTATATTGTTGCAGTGTAATATAGTATTCTCAGTTCCAATTTTCAACTTTTTGGAACAACTGGATGAAATGCAAGTTTATAAAATTGTCTTAAAATGATGATTTAATTACAGATAGTCCATCTGTCTCATTCCTTTTGCTTCTGTGATTCTTTTATTAGAATTTTATTGGTTAAAAATACAAGCATGGATTAGAATTATTAATTATCTTATTTTTGCTTATTATTACTCTTAGTTGCATTAATCTTTATTTTTTAAAGGATAATTATCTTTTTAGAAAGAAAAAACTACCTTATAAGACTATTTTACTTCAAAAATGATTACCTAAAGCGATGATTACCTGACACGCGCGCTTTCTGAAGTTCTAAGACACGTACTTGAGCACTGCTAAAATAAATCATCCCTAATAGCTTCGCCAATATCACTGCCCGTTTTCAATTTAAAAAAAAGCAAAACAAAAAACACTAAAGCAATTTTGGTGCATGCACAAATGCATAGAAAGTCTTCAGATATAATAGACCGTACAAATATGTATTTTAAAATAAAATGTGCAGCAACTATGTAAACAAATTTGTTAAAAAAAGATCTATACTCCGCATTGTATCTGGTTTTAAGCTGTGCTGAGTTAAGAGAATCTACTAGTTAATTTTTCACCACAAAGACTTAGAATTTTCGGTAAATATACTGCATTTTCACGTACGTAAGTTCTGAGCAGGGAAGTTACTTCATAATAATCACGTAAATAAAAGATCCATATCTTACAAAGACTCTGGTTCTAAGTTGTGCGAAATTAAGGGAATCTATTAGTTAATTTCTTATTAGAAAGATTTAGATTTTCGAAGTAGTATACTATATGATATTAGAAAAATTTGGAATTTTCACGTAGAGCGCAGCTTAGAGTACAGCTTCCAGCTTAGAACCTACGTACACGATCACGTACGTAGGTTCTAAGCTGAGAAGTCACTATATAATAATCTCGTAAACAAAAGATCCACGCACTGCAAAAACTCTGGGGTTTTAGTTGTGTGAAATTAAGAAGATTTACTAGTTAATTTCCTTACTAGAGAGATCTAGCATTTTAACGTCGTATCTTGCAGTCATGTACTCAAAACCAGTGCAGCGCAGTATCTACTGGCAATTTCCTACGTGTACAGAGTTTGCGCAGAACATGCGTACGTGAACGAGTGGAATGCAACGCGTAAGTGCTAAATGTCTGACAAATGTCGAGTTACTTACCATTTGGTTAAGAGGCCCATATCCCCCTCTCTGCTTCCAGAGTGGAACGTAATCAGTGCAGTTAGTTTGATAGGGTGGGGGAAGAAGATGTTTTTCATTCTTAAATGAAATATTTAAACACTTAGAAAAAGACTAATTTTTTCTACT